TCTCTCTCTCTCTCTCTCTCTCTCTCTCTCTCTCTCTCTCTCTCTCTCTCTGTATGTATGTATAAAATATCCAATGATCAGAGCTATAAATCTATAAGTGGCTTCATAAGCTCCCTCTTCTGAACCCTGTACAGTGGACACCAAACCACCAACATGCACTTCTTTGGCAGACAGTGCAGGTGCAGAAAAAAGGGTGCATGCCTCAGTCTACTCAATTTATCACTCCTATATCGGTTTGAAAGCATGAGGGCTACAAGCAAAGTTGAAATCTAAGAGCACACGTCTGGTCTTCATGAAGCCAGTTTTGCTGTGTACATGAGCTGTCATATGTGGTGTGGCCGTAACATTCCCTGGGAGATAAACACAGGGATTTCAGTCTGACTAAAGCACTTATATTGAGCCCATGCTTGCACAAAAAATACACTGTGCCATGCAGATTGTATATTTGAGGATGTGCATTTGGAGAGGGGCTAAAGATTCCCTGTATTTACTAAGATCCTAGAGAACCATCCTGAACACAAGCAGGCAAAAGACAGACAGAATTGTGGATGAAGGGGTGGTTGGAGAGGCTTCTGGTAGGAACTGAACTTCTGACAGCTGTAGGGAAGAGGGGCACAGAAGTCTTCGCGGCCAAGAAAGGAGCCATATGGTTGTAAGTCACACCACGACAGAACTGTGATCAGTTCTGGGTGCTCTCCGGTTAAAGAAAATGGAGACTTATCCAAATATGTTCGCAACAGAGGACAACAGCATTGAGCTTTAGGCCACAGTCTGATTTTGGAAAAGAGAATGAGCCCCAAATTCAACGAGAACCTGGGGGGCAGGGCGGGGAGGGGGACCAAGAGGACAAATGAAAGGACAAGAGACACAAAGAGGGTTTTGATCAAGCTCTCAAATTTTAATTTCAGATGGCAGGTCATAAGGCATAGCAAAACAGGAAGTTCAGACAAGGATCATTGCTTAAGTCTATCCCACTATCATATCCTCATTGCCTAAAACCATCCTACTATCAAAACTGGCTTCTGGGAAATACCAGACATTCTTTAAGTTCCACAGGCCTGAGACCAACGTCCTTTCTTAACCTTGTACTTTAACTAACTAGGTTTTTCCAGAACAGCAGATAATTTAATGGGTTTGGCTCCCGGCAAGAAAGCACAGTTAAATCTTTAATCTTTAAAAGAATTATTGTTAAAATAGGCAAAGTGGCACATGTCTTTAATCCCAGCATTTGGGAGGCAGAGGCAGGCCGGTCTCTGGACATTAGAGGCCAGCCTGGTCTATGAAGGGAGTTCTAGGACAGACAAGACTACACAGAGAAACTCTGTCTAGAAAAATAAACAAAATGACAAGAAAATTGACAAAAGTTTATTGTTATTGAATTTTATACATGAATATATCATTTTGATCAAGTCCCTATATTTGGAGAAGCTTTCTTTTGTAGATTGACACAGAGATTCACAACGAGTCAACATGTAGAAGTTTTACCTGATCAAAAGTGAGATCTTTAAGAGGTAAAGTACTGGTATTTTTGAGGAAGGGAGAATGAAATTGTTTCCCTAGCATAAATGGATGTGCTTAGCAAATGCTTAATGCCAGGATCTGAAATGAGACAAATGATTTTTTTCTTTTTCTTTTCTTTTTTATTTCTTTTTCTTTTTTGCAAGTCTACAAAGTACACAGGAACATTTACATTTTCTATTTACTAATTCACTTTGGCTAACAAAAATGCTCCTGAATTGGAGATAGCCAAGGTAATAGCCACTTACGTAGCACAGTAGGGGTCTTGTCATAGGGTTAAAATAATTAGTTTAGGGAAACCACAAAATGCCCCCGGGGTGGGGGGGATGCTATTTCTGAATCTCTCACTGACATCACTCATTTCTCTCATTTTCTTTTCCCATCCACAGTGTTTAAAACCAAGTCTTTGCAAGGATGACTTACCACCATTCATTGGATTTTGTTGCGTGACCTGAAAGTAGAACCCACAGTTCGTGACAAGAGTGTTGCTTTGTGGAAGAATTAAAGATCATGACAGTAATCTGTGACTTGGTTCATATCTGTAGTAAAGGTAATGGGAGTGGAAGTGGGTGGGGTTAGAAGGGAGAGAAGATCTGGTCCATTTTCCGTCATCTCCCTTTAGGGTCCCCCTTTGATTCCCCTTCAGGAAGTGGAGTAGAAACCCTGCATTCGTCAGTAACTCTGGGTCAACCACAACTTACAGTCAGTAAGGAGGTCAGTGGAAACAGGGACAGTGATTGCTATAAAACCGACAGGTACTGTCATTTGACATACCCTGGGAGATACACTCAGAAGAAAGTACTTCCTGAGCAAAGAAGCAGCCACTGGGGAAACCAGCATGAAGGGCACCTATCAAACAGCCATGGTGAGTAGCGTTTGATAATGGCAGGCTAAGGGTTGCCGTGTCTAAGCTTTGAGAAAGGTAGAATCCTAAGGCTTTAGATCTTCCTTCTTGGAGTCTTTTGTGAATTAGTTCTTTAAAAAATGAAATTAAGTTTAATTTTGATTTGTCTGGTAGAGAAAAAAAGAGAAGAAAAGAAAAGGATAAAAGCCAACATCAACGGAAAAATTAGAAAAGGAGGAAAGCAGATGCTCTTACCTGATAGATTTTGCTCAGTTGGGTTAGCGTGTGTATCTGGTTATCTCACGTGACCATCATGGTCTCTCTTAACTACTCATTATAGACTTAGGTTGTCCTAAAATGAGAGCCGGCCAAGCTTTTGTGTGTGTGTGTATGTGTGTGTGTGTATTCCAAGGAAGAAATATATGTGTAATATCACATTATATTGCAAATAACAATATAAATATATATTAGATATTAATATATAATATACATCCCAAAGAAGCAGAGGACCCATGTTTTGGTTCTTCCAAGGTAATTTGGATGGAGGAAGTAGAATGACCTAGTGTTAAACTTTTGGCCACCTCCTGGACAAGCTTCTTATGTCTTTGATAACTGATTAATTAATTAATTAATTAAATAAAACCTGGGAAGGGTTTAATATAGGGGCACACGGACCAAACTTAAGAAATTGCACACTGTGTTACTGGTTTTGACAGTCCTTTGATTTTCCTTGGATAAGCCTTGAGACCTCAAAGAGCATGGCTTTTATAAATGGTTCATGCTTTCTAACAATGGTGATATTCCTTTAATTATTTGTATGTTATTATAGGGATTACAGTAAACCACCAAAGTACAGTATTTAGGGACACAGGTTTTGAAGTCAGAGAGATTTGGCTCTCCTATCTGCTAAGTGTGGAATTTGGTGTTGGTCGTCTCCCTTTGTGAATTTTAATTCCCCCACCTGTGCTCAGCAGCATAAATAAGGTATCTCCCTTATAGCATTTGGGGGAAGGGACCACTGGTTATACTGATATGAATCTAGACTTGCAAGGTAGATCATATACACTTAGATCTTATTTAACTTGGACACTGTAATTTGTATAAGAGGTAAAGGTAGAAAGAGGATACAAATGTTAATTCTTAAGATGATTGTTTTTGCTTTTTTGAGACAAGATCTTCCTATGTGGCCCATGCTAGTCTTTTTGAGTTTGCTATGTGGGCTCAGACTGGTCTGGAACTGGCGACCTTTTTGTCTTGCTCTTTTGGAGTGTTGGAATTGTAGGAGTGTGCCACCAAGCCTGGCTCAGGGTTTTATTATTACCTTTTAGACGCCTAATAACCCACAGGAATAGATCATGAATTTTCCCCATTACGCGGTAAAAAGGAGCTCAGTCATCTGGTTTTCATTTGCTGTCACTTACTGTAATGCTAATATAACATATCGCTAATGTAATAATATTGGAGACCTGCATCTAAGTTTTCTGGCTCCCAATAATAGTGTGTTTATCAGTGGATGATCCAGAGGCAAGATTCTCAACCTAACGCCATTGTATCCGAGCAAATCCGTGGGGTAGTTTAATGCTCCAAACCATTACCATCTCTTTTGGGGAAAATAAAAATCAGTAGGATTGTCTGCAAGAAGCACGGCAGTGCAAAAAGTGTTGAAAGGAGATGACGAGTTAGGAGGGGCAAGCAGAGAAGAACTCTGTGGATGACTGAGGTAAATGTGGGCGGAGCTTGGAGCTGAGCCGTCTCTGTCCCCCATTCCTGTGTAGGGAGGTTATAGACTACAGGTAAGGTAAGTGCGCAGATCTTCTCTCGGCTGTGAGCACAGCAGAGTAATGTACACAACTAGGCTGGGAAGGTTCACATTCTATGTCTGACCACCTTCAGTCTCAATATTCTCCCAGTCGTTTCCCATTCTACAGGATTTAAGCCACGTCTATTAATGGGCCCCATTAAAGGTGGAATTTAAACCTGTAAAACGCTCCCAACTTTCCTGGGAAGATGTATTGTTTGTATTGTTCTTCAGACTCAGCACCGGCCTTATCAGAGCTCCAAAACACCCCCCCCCCCCAAAAAAAAGGGACACTGTCACAAAGCAAGCAGTGATTTGTGGCTTTCAATACCTCTGTCTTTCCGGTACAGTTTGCAGAGTGTTTAGAATTCTCGTCTCTTGTAATGAGACGCAATGAAGGCTAATGTGGAGAATAGTATTGACCTTCAGTGGCTGTGCCCAAGCTTTGCCATAGAAGGTGGAGACTGTCAACTGGCACAGGGAGGCTGGGGAACCCCACCAGGCTGTTTATTGCCTCTCCGACATAAATCCTTGGCCTATCTGGTTAGATAATTAGGGTGAGTTTTGTACTTTCTGAGTTACCTGTTCGAATCTAGTAAAGAGGTATAAAAACTTTTTCTAAGATACTCCAAGAATATTTAGCTATTACTAAAGAGATATAATGAGATGTTAGGAGCATGGTAGTTGTCTTAGTTATTTTTCTATTGCTGTGATAAAACATTGTAACCAAGACAACATGTTAAAGAAAGTGTTTAATTTGGGGCTTACAGTTTCGGAGGGTTAAGCTCCATGATCATCATGACTGGAGACCGGAAGGTAGGCATGGTGCAGGAGAAATAGCTGGGAGTTCACATCTTACGACATAACCACGAGACAGAAAGAACTAACTGGGAATGATATAAGACCTTAGACATCTCAAAGCCCACCCCAGTGACACAGCTCCTCCAAGAAGACCACACTTCCTACTTTTTCCCAAACAATTCCAACTGGGGGGCCGAGTGTTCACACATATGAGCCTTTGGGGGGTGGATTCTCAATCCAACCAAGGCAACAAATTATCACTAATCACATAAACCTAAACTGTAGTGACTTTCAGTCTTGATAATTAAAATTAGAAGTGAACCAATAAACGTGACATACAAGAGGAAAGAGAAGACGCCCGAGGAGAAATTTACTTAAGTGGTCGATAGACGCGTGGCTATGTTTTCTAAACATCAAAGCACCTGCGAAGACTGCATTTCGCATCCATCTCGTGCTCGGGGTAACATCAATACCCCGCCAACCGTTGTTACCTGTATCAAACTACCGCATGCTTACAGGGCTCTTTGGGATTTACAAGGTTGTAGGAAACCTAATCACTGTGGGGTGAGTCCTGTAATTGAGTTACAGAACCCACACAGGTGACTCTAGAGATAACGCCCCATACCGCAACACTGTGGCCTCAAGGACAAGCTATTGAGTGAATGGATGACTTCAGAGGTGAAAGCATATGGCTACTGGTTATCTGGAGACAAATCTGTCTCATCCTGCATCTTGCTTTCAATGTATTATCAGTGATCAAGGTAGAGCAGGTTGACCCCATGACCTCGTAGTTTATTCAGGGCATGTCTTGCCTCCAGTATACAGAAAAGAACAGGCAAGTTGTTGAATTCAACATGCACAGTCACTACAACAGTGTGAAGCTGAACAACACAGAGCCCAGAAATGAAAAGCTCAGCTTTAGGTCTTGTGCCTTCCTGTGGGCTTTGTTCTCCCCCAGTAAGGTGTGGCAAAGGATGTCTGCGGCCAAGGGAAGCTGTTGAGTTTTTCTGCTCTTCTTGCTGTTAGATCTTCAGTGAGCACTTTCTTTGTGTGTGCTTGTAACAGCAGATAAACTGATCAGTGTTAGTATAGAAAAGATATATTCCAGAGCTAAAAGAATACGCCAGGCATCATTAGTGCCCTTGCTTCTTTCAATTAGCATGGGTAATGGAACTTTGCTGTGCTTGGCTTCGCATAATCCTTTTACTCAATGAGCATGGCATAACTATATTGTTTAATTTAACGGGGCCGCCCTGCTCATTCAGTCACCCACTCTCTCATTCATTCAGAAAGTTTTCATGGAACACCCTTGCTGTGCACGTGCTCTCGCAGGAAGTTTTACTCTCACAGGTCTGAGTCTGGTATGAACACAGATACCGCATTTTTAGAGAACATTAAAAAAAATGCTTCTTGGGTGATCCATGCTAAAATCTTTATTATTTAATGTTGATAAATATACTTTAAAAATATTTGTTTTACGTATACGAGTCCACTGTCTCTGTCTTCAGACACACCAGAAGAGGGGGCATCAGATCCCATTACAGATGGTTTCGAGCCACCACGTGGTTGCTGGGAACTGAACTCAGGACCTCTGGAAGAGCAGCCAGTGCTCTTAACTGTGGAGCTGTCTCTCCATCTCAATAAATATGCTTCTAATTGAATTACATATGGGGCCTTGAGAAAGGCTTTGTGGAATATAAGGTTGGAGATAAAGTCAAGAGGGCTTTACTCACGGACCCTTTCTATTTGCACCCTGATAACATTAAGCATGACAGTTCTCATTGCTCGTGAACCATAGAAAAAAAGAAACCTTGATTGTGTAAAGTGACCCTATAGAGAGTTCAGGAATGCTGTCCACCACCAGGGCTCTAACCCTAAGGTAATCTCTATTTTCCAGGTTAAGTCTTTGCTCCTGTTGATGTTGGGACTCGCCATCCTGAGAGAGGTAGCAGCTCGGAAGAACCCCAAAGCAGGGGTTCCTGCCTTGCAGAAGTCTGGGAATTGCCCTCCCCTAGAGGATAACAGTGTGAGAGTTGACATTCGCATCTTCAATCAAAACCAGGGCATTTCTGTCTCACATGACTTCCAGAACCGCTCCAGCTCTCCATGGGATTACAAGTAAGTCATGGAAGAGAGATACACGTATTACACTGAAAAGAATGTGCTAAACCAAACGTAACGCTGGACGCCTTTAACCTTAGAGCTTAAGAGGCAAACTCACTGGATCTCTAATTTCAAGGCCAACCTGGTCTACAGAATGAGTTCCAGGATAGCCAGAGATACATGGTTGAAACCCTAGCTTGAAAAAAAACAAAAACAACAAAAGAAAAGAAAGAAAAATGTGCTACTTTTTTTGATTACAAAGCCTCATTCTTATGAGTATTCAGGACTCACGGTCACTTGTTTTTTTTGTTTTTTGTTTTTTTTCCTGAGATAGAGGTTTCACTCTTCAGCTCAGGTTGCCCGAAACTTACTAGGTAGCTGAGGCTAGCCTCAGATACATGGTTATCCTTCTGCCCCAGCCTTCTGAGTTCTGGGATGATAGGCATGAGCCACCATGCCTGGCTTCACACTCATCATTTCCAATAGAAGTTGTACTTTCCCACAAACTCAGTTTTTTGTTTTTTGTTTTTTTTTTTGTTTTTTGTTTTTCTTGCCTTTGGGTCACCTATGTGATTGGAAGTCTCAATATTTTTTTTTTCAGCCTTTGTCCTTATCACTGCATGAGGATAGTGTAAATGAGGAGTCAGCCTAGGGATCTACTGAGGAGACATTTCTCTTTGAGTAAGGAGGGTAAGGCAGGAGTTGGAAGAGAAGTCAGCTTGGGAAATAGATGTCAGCTGTACGGGGCAGAGTCTTGTGATTTTTGTCTTAAGCTCTAGGTCCTGGGAACACTCAGCACCCATCGATAGTCTTCAAATAAATTGATAAAAACAGATTCTTGGGACAAAGCAGTGGTTTGGGGCTGATGCATAGCTCTCTTCTTGAGAGGTTTGTGCACTTTGGCAAACTGGCTTGGCTGCCTGTCTTCAGCCAGAGGGGGGTGTTATCAAGAGAGAGGCTCTGGATTCTCAGACCTCGAAGGCTTTGATTTTGTTTTCCAAGCGGTGAATTTTGTGCATTGTACTTTGGGAGACCTAATCGTAATGTTCAATCTCTGCTTAAAGGACAAGTAATTATACCAAAACAAATAAAATGTAGACCTAAGAATAACCAAACCCTAGCATTATGGGGTTACTCTGTATGCACTCAAACCATGTGATATCCCCAACAATCATCTGAGAGAATGATATGGGAGAAACCCCCGTTTGATAGTGGAGGCACCCCAGGCATAGGAAGTTACTTAACAGCTTGAGCCAAGAATTCAGAGCCTGTGCTGCTCCCCTGAAGGGAAACCCCCAATGCTGCCGAAACCCTTCTCTCTTCCTCTCCCTGGCCTAAGCATCCTGATTTACCTTTTTTTTTTCCCCTTCAGCATCACCCGTGACCCCCACCGATTCCCGTCAGAGATCGCTGAGGCCCAGTGCAGACATTCAGGTTGCATCAATGCCCAGGGACAGGAAGACAGCTCCATGAACTCTGTCGCCATCAAGCAAGAAATCCTGGTCCTTCGGAGGGAGCCCCAGGGCTGTTCTAATTCCTTCAGGTTGGAGAAGATGCTTGTAAAAGTTGGCTGTACCTGTGTCACACCCATTGTCCACCGCGCGGCTTGACAAAGCTGTGCACCAAACTCAGCTGAAGACGCTGAGGAAAAGCCTCTTTTTATCCAGTGCTCTGTGTGAAGCCTGATCTTCAAGTCTTTATGCTTTCTAGGACTCTCAGTAAGGTGTGCGTGGCATTCTCGAAGCTCTGTAGTAGATATAGCTTTAACTTTTTGGCTTGCTTTAGAATTGTTACCAGTACCTGGTGTGTTTCAATGCCTTAAACTCCCAAAAATGAAAGTGAATTAAGATACCCTTGGCCCAGTCTCTTTATGTTAGATGATGACCACATTTCTTGTCTGTCAATACAGTCACTTTGATGCAGTATCACTCTTGTAGAGTTCAATGAAATGCTCGTATTTCTGATGGAAAGAAAGCAAACATAATCAGAATATATGGAGGAGGCCTGTGTAGCAGGGGCTGGGTTGGCAAAGATGAAGTAAACGTGGCATGTGTGTCTTTAGAAAAAATTTGGTAAATATAAATGAGGTTGGCATAAACCATTGCATATTTATATTTGTAGGGGAACTATACATATATTTATGACCTGTTGATTATATAAAAAAATTAGTAGAAAATTAATATATCCATTAATTATGTAATAAAATATTTTTAATTAAAAAATATTTGAAGTCTGTGCTGGCGAGTTTCTGTCAGCTTGGTATAAACTTGAGCCCCCTGGCAAGAGGAAAGCTCAGTTGGGGAATTGCCCCCATCAGATTGGTCACTGGACATGTCTGGGGGACATTTTCTTGATTAATGGTTGTTACGGGAGGGCCTAACAAATTGTGGGTGGTGCCCATTATGGGGAGGTGGTCCTGAGTTGTGTAAGAAAGCCGGCTGGGGAGACTTCGGAGAGGAAGCTACTGAGCTGCACCCCATCATATCTGCTTTAGGTCCTGCCTGAAGTGCCTGCCAAAGTTTCCCTCCATGATAGAACTCATAAACCCAACGAATCCTTTTCCCTCTAAGCTGCTTTTGCTCATGGTGTTTAACATGACAACACAGAAGCCAACCGGACAACGAATCTGCTCTTCTAGTTTCAGCTTGAGCTCCAAGACTTTCTAGCCCAGCTACTTTATAGCTCAACATTTTGAAAGTCTATATGTGTGTCATTTGCTTTTCCAAATCCCCTCCTCAGGGCACCCGTGTTAGAGTTACTATTGCTATTAATGGAACTGAGGTCCCGTTGTTACACTTAGACGGAGAGTTAAGGGAAATGGTGCAAACAGGATTCAAGTGTGGAGTCAGCTGGGTGACTCTTCCACCCTTCTGGCCACATGATGTGACAAAGCCAACACTGGCTACTGTGCTAGCCGATAGAGGTACAAAGTGGTGGAAGATGTAGGTAGAAGAGCCTTAGTTTTGGCAGGAGCTGTCCCCAGAACCCTGTCATTAAGGCAGGTTCCTTTGCCTCCTTTTCCCTACTTCTTGACCCTCGTGGGATCACCATGAGTCTTTTGTCAGGCTCCCATGCTACTTGCTGATACACAGTATGCAGATCCCAGGCTCCAGGGAAACTTGTGTCTCTCCTCCTGTCTTCCCTGTCTGAATATAGCGCATCACAGCTCTCTGTCACTGCTACCATGCTTTGAGAACATCTACATGGCCGCTGGATTTTCCAGCATCTAAAAGCTTCTATGCTCTCAAGGTAGAGGTCTTTCTCCTATCTGGGATTTGGTTTGGGGTCGGGCAGCGAGCAGGAACTTGGCTCCCTTTTCTAACTTGTACGTAATCTATGACAGGCAGGAAGGTTGGGCAGACTCCCTTTAGTTGTTTACAAATGAATCCCGCTGCAGACAACAGTAGGGTTCATTTTGGACCCACCCATGGTTAGTTCTGTGTACAGGACCGCAGAAGTGACAGATGCCTGGCAGGTTCCCAAGATAACTCTGGTGATGTCCAAGAGACCTGAATTTGGAGGATCAGTTAAAGGTTGGAAAGAGACTCCTCTTGATGGTAGTCCCACATGATTAAGGTCAAAATAGACCACTCTAGCCCCTGATTTACCTCTCCCATTTATGAATGTAGCTGGAGGAATTGGCTGACTTGCTCAATGTCTCTCAAGCAGTTACTAGCAAGATTGGGTCTGCCGGCTCCAAGTTCAAGACCTTCACATTTTAGTTTTCCAGCACTCCCATAGTGTATCTGATTAAAGATGGACGGACTAGCATTAGCTGTGGGAGAGGATATAGATGTACCTCATCCTACCTCTCCCAATACATTCATTGTTCACACAGCCCCGAGAGCTAAGCAAGCTTGCCTTCTTCGCTTGTGGGTAAAGCTGGCTGCCATCAGGAAACTGTGCATCCTGTTCTACTCACGAGGTGGCACACCACACCCATATGTTCTTGGATTCCTTAGCAAAGTTAGAAGAGAAAGAAATGGCTGCTTTATGGGTGCACCTGTTTGCTCAGGTGATGTGTAAAACTGTGGAGCAGAATGAGCGTGCTGCACTCATCAGCTTTGCCAAGCTGTCTGAGAGGCGGAAGTCCCCCATTTTGCCTGAAGATACAGACTAAGCTGAATGCTTTAGGTGTTCAAATAGAGAGTTTCCATCACAGTGTGTGGAGAGATTTCCACATAGAAACTTGAAAACACATGGCTATTTCCTTTCCTTTCCTTTCCTTTCCTTTCCTTTCCTTTCCTTTCCTT